TTTTGTGAGTAGCGTACGTGGCTTGGTTGGGAAACATCGGTCTAGACACCGCCAAATAAAATCTGCCTCCTTGATCAGAATCGTTTGTGGTCAAGAAATGTCAGAGACAAGTGAGGTAAGACGAGGGTTGCAAAGGGGTGGAAGTTTGCAGGTAAATTTCCATGGAAACTTAAGATGGGAATTTAGAGCCATTCGGGGTTCATTTAATAAAAAGGAATCATATTCAAGCATGAAGCAAAGATTATGTTTTGTCGTTAGCAGACATAAAGTTCACTATTAAAACTCATTCACTGCCATTGACGGCGACAGACGTCAAAGATCCACGTTTCCTGGATTGGCAGATGAGTTCAGAGCCAACTTTCAATTTGGTAAATTCCTGTCCATAAATTAAGGATTTTTTTTTTTCCCCGGAAAGAAACACCCACTGAGGAATTATCTCTCAGCGTCAGAAGGCATGACTGACAAGGTGTCAATCATTTGCCGTGCAGTCAATGGCAGGGAAATTTCAAGGAAATTTCTACAAGAGCCTCTCCCTCTTTTACTAACAAGTGGGCGGAAACAGCGGGACAGAGTAGTCAAGTGAGGTTACGTTAAAAGCTTGATGTCAATACTGCATACTCCTCCTTTAATTCCCATGGAAAGTTTGCAACTTGAAAAGTTCCGGAATTTTGCAATTTTAGGTAAGGACCCTGCTCTCTCATTCGTCATCACGCAGGTTGAAGAGGCCTCCGTCGTGCTCCGCCGATGCCCCGTGTGGCCGGCCGGCCGGCCTTGCCTTGCCGTCCGCAGATGACGCCACGGACACACCGGCGTTTGATCGCCGTTTGATTCGAAGCGTCAAAGCTCGTCTTTCTCCATTTGCCGGAAGGCCTCCAGGTCGTCCCGCCAGTCGGCCAGTAGCCGGTCCACCGATTGGCCGGTGGCGTCCTCGTCCACCACCTCAAGCTCCTTTTTATCCCCAGGGTCCACTTTCGGCGCGTCAGCCTCGGCTGGACTGACGTCCTCACCGTGGGTCGGAGCGGCGTCTTGATCATCCGGCGGTGTCGTCGCCTCCAACTCGGATGCCGCTGGCGAGGTGGCCTCGGTTTGGCAGTCCTCCTCCACCTCGTGGACGTCGGAGCCTGAAAAGGAAGGTGAGCGGTGGGTGGCGACGCAACAAGATGTACAAGGTGCAAAAATAGAGCGGTCTTCACAAAGAGGCTGCCAGCTCAGAGCAGCACGATGCCTGCCCGTAGTGAGTCACAGGATGAAATCTTTCTCCCCCTCTAACGTTGCTGAGAGAGAGAGAGAGAGAAAAACGGCCGAATGGAGAAAAGAAGCCAAAATGTTGTGCGGGGGAATCTGGCAGGGTTAATATTCTGCCTGAAGTGTGGTTTCTATAAATACTTCAGAGTACGCGGAACAAATAACGCAAGGTCGTAGATGACCCTCCGTTTCTTTGTAGAACGTAAACAAGTGGTTCAAGTCGACAAAATTCAAAAAAGTCAAACAGATCCAGCTCAAATGAAAGCGTAATTTAAACGATGAAAGTACGGCATTGTTGTAATGACATCCATGAGTGACACAGTGTCTCGACTTACGACTTGTGAATTAAAAGATTGGTGAGAAACAAATATACAAGGGTCATAAACGTGAGTTGTGAAATGTGAAGCGAAGCCAGGAGGTAAAACAATTGGAAACGTGTGGGCAGGGAGGCAGTCTGATGGTGGAGTTTCGAAATAGCCTGACAGTGAACCCCCGCAGTATTGCGGTTCATCATTCGCACTTTGGCCACCTGGGGGCAGTATTAGACATCCGGATATACTTTATATGGAGTCAATGTTAGCTAAACCAAAGCTTTATTTGCTCTATGCAGAGGATAAAGAATATATTATTAAATATTGTCATATTTGTGTGTTGCGCGACCGTTTAGATTAAAATATCCATTGCTTATCACATTGTTACACCTATGCTATTCATTAGCCCATCTCTGATGTTTCCCCATTATGTTCACATTAAGATAGCAGACGTGATGGGAAAGTTATGTGGTAGCTTTAAATACACAATGGGGACTGTTTGTATCTTAGGAAAAAAAAACAGATGGGTGATTTGTATCTCAAGGGACAACTGTACATGTTAGCATTAAGCTAGCAGACTTTTGTTAGATGAAATTATAGGTGCTGTTGCAATACTTTTGTTTTAAAATATACATTGTTTAATTCTTATTTGTTTTTGTGTCGGTTTTACATAAAACCTCAACCGCATGTGACAAACAGCTTGAAGCAAGCACGCCGGGGGGGATCTTTTTTTGCAGAACTGCGCGAGTGAGTCTGATTTCCTTTTCATCAACGTTATGTGCCGCTGAATCCTTCAAAAAGTCTCTTTGAATCATAATTTTCGATAAGGCATAGCACAGATTGTCACCAAACTCGGATGGGTCCGTAACGCGTCCCCCTTCAATAACCCGGGGGTCCACTGTACTGTAAAAATGATGAGATGTGAGTGAGGTAGCAGAAAGAACAGCAGAGAGGAATACTTACTGCCCTCAAACAGACTTCCAGGCAGAGCTTTACCTTTGAATATGGCAGCTGTTTGTCCACGAAATGAGAGGGTCGGGCGGCGGGGTGGGGGGGAGAGAGGAGAAGGCAAATGAGCAAGCAGAGGGGAGGAAGTGTAGGGTCATATTAATAAACTGATGTAACCACTGCCAGTGGCTTGGGAGGGAGTCAAAAATGCCGGGAAAGGCGCAGGCTC